GGCAGGGCAGGCCTCCGGGGTTCCTGCACTGCGGTGCTGATTTGGGGTATCACCCAGTGGCCTTGGAGGAGCAGCCCACGGTGTGACGTGGGTATTCGGCCGGGCCGGCCTCGGGGGGGTGGTTCTGTGCGGTGGTGTGCAGAGCTGTGGTTCTTTCACAGGACGGCCTGAAGCAGTGCCTGTCCGAATTCAAGCAGCAGCTAGCTTGGGTGGAAAGGCTGGATGTGACTTCGGGCCAGGTCGCGGACCCCGTCTCGCAGAGTGCTTCTGACAAAGATGCTGTTGACCCTGAGAATGATTTCCAGAGAGAGATGAGCTTGTAAGTGTCAAAAAGGGAGATTTCTTGCAGGCTCTTGGCATACTGCTGCGTGCTTGGAGTCGTGTTTTGCCCTCTGCTGCAGACCGCCACACTGGCTGTCGCTGTGGCACTCTTGGGCCACGTATTTTACATTTGCTGGCTCTGAATGTTTTCCAGAATAACTACAGATTAATGCTAGTATACTTAACTTGTCTTGTGACTGGAAATAATTTCCCTCCTCGCAGCAGACTTCCATCCTTTGCTGAAAGTTTATTTAAAGAGTTCCTTGGTTGCAGCACTATGTCTTTAACACAGAATATGGATTTTTCTTTGTGGATTTGTTTTGGTGTTATTACAGTTCTCTTGTTTTGCCTTGCCTTTTATAATCCAACATGTAAAACTGTGACTGGGAACTAGGTAAATGTATATGCGCAAGATATAAGCATTCATATCGTACTGGCACCTAAATTGCTTTTGGTAGCACTGAATGCTGTAGGGCACAGCATGTTGGTATCATTCTAGGTCAATGCTTGTTAGATCCCAGTATCATCTAGCTTATGTGAGCAGAGTTCCTGTCAGCGCTGTGAGATGCCCGATACCCAGTGACGGAGCTGGTGCTGTGCTGTCTCCCTAGTTACCGTCAGGCTCAGGCAGCGGTCCTGGAAGCACTACCTAGGTTGCGTAAGCTCCAAGTTCCTACTAGAAGGCCAGATGATTACTTCGCAGAGATGGCCAAATCAGACCAACAGATGCAGAAGGTATGTGCGGTGAATAATGGCTTTCTTTCCTGTGTTACGTGTTGGTTTTAGCCTGTGTTTTAGGGATTAACTTTGAGGTGTGATTTGTGAATACTTCCCTTCATCTCTTTGTCAAATGCCTGTGACAATGTTAGTGTTTGAAATTTTGTTTGTGGCAGGAAATTTCTTCCTCTTTAGGTATTTCAGTGCAATGTGGGGATTTCCATAACAGTTGGAACGTAAAGTAGAAAAGCACGACTTATATTCTGTCCTCAATGTATTTAATATTAAAAATGGAGACTCTTTCTCCGCATGTGTGATAGTGGTTATGAAGTTGGCTGTGTTTATGCTCTTTGGCGTAAGACTTGCAGTCAACTGTGGCATTAACGTGATCCTTTTTCCCTATTTAAGTATCACCCTTTGTTTATACTCGGTGTGTTTTGGTTCTCTGTGACTTTAAACTGTGTGTTATTGAATTAATCTATCATGGGTAGTAGGTCAGATTTGTGTAGGAAATAAGAATGTCACGAACTTGCTTCTTGAGCGTGATCTTTGTTCAAAACGGAACCCTCATTTTTGTTTTTGTTTTGGAAAAAAGACTACATTGTATAAGTTAAACATCAGCTGGAGTCTAATTTGAGGTTCATGTATGACTTGGTCACTGTTTTGATGGCTGATAGAATCTTCCTAGAGATGATGAAGATTAATAATTAGCTTGTGCTGAGGTTTAAGTCAATTCTGCACAATACTGTTACCTTCTTTTGCTGGCTTCTGTTTGAAGAATGGAGTTTTTTATCTCCTTGTGGAGTCACAGATTGAATCCAGCAGATTTGTGTCGAAATCTTTGTAATCCCTTGTAATGCGGCATCCTTATAGAAATGTTTGTGAACAAGGAGGGAACGAAAAAGATGTTTTCTATGGTGCGGAAGGGTTGTTGACTCTTCTTCAGTGCTTTACTTTTAATAATGATGAGAAAGAAACTATCAAGTCTTCTACATACACCTGAGTAGACTGACAAGATGTGACAAGATACTCTTGTTTAGCGGTTTCGTGACAGTCGTTCCATAAGCCTTTGTCTTGTCTCTGTGTGAGTTTTGTCTTTTTAACCAGATTTTGGCTACAGATCAGTTCAGGAGTTTCTGTAATAACTCGTCCAGCCTTGAGTTGAAAGAACATTATGCCTTATAAAGCATTAAGTGATTGAGAGACGTTTTCTTTTTTACACTCATTAATAGTTCATATAATTATTGATTTCAGGACTGCACAGCAATCATAAAATTCCCATGTTTTCTTTTGCATTACTGATAAATTTTGTTTTTTCTATCCCCTAATAAGATTCGACAGAAGCTTAAGAGTAAACAGGAAGCAATGGAGAGGTCTGAGAAAGCAAAACAGCTCCGTGCGATGAGAAAATATGGCAAGAAGGTGAGGAGGAGCTACAAAAGGGACCTACCTATGATAAGAATCTAGAGCCTGAGTGAGGAGCTTAGAAAGTGAGACCACAGGAGGCTAGCTAAAATATATGGAATGTCTAGTCTTCTGTCTAGCTGCTTTGAAGGAAGACAGAGCAAAAGATGGGATACCTTAAAAAAAAGAAAAAAAAAAAAAGAAAAAAGTATGGGACACAAGGAACAACACTAACATTCATTTAACAATGGTTAAACATTGGACCAGGCTGCCCAGGGAAGTGGTTGAGTCACCATCCCTGGAGGTATTTAAAAGACGTGTAGATGAGGCGCTTAGGGACATGGTTTAGTGGGCATGGTGGTGTTGGGTTGACGGTTGGACTCGGTGATCTTAGAGGTCTCTTCCAACCTTAATGATTCTATGATTCTGCTTCTAATCTCAGGTGCAAACTGAGATTCTGCAGAGAAGACAAAAGGAGAAAAAAAATATGTTGAATGCAGTCAAGAAATACCAGAAAGGTAAAGTTAACTTGTCTAAGAGAGCAAATGTGTAATGGGAATAGTGGTGTGTGAGCAATGTAAGGCAGTGTGATGTGTGGTGCTGGGCAGTGAGCTTGAGAGGCTGCTGCTGTGCAGAATCATTTGCCAGTGGCAGTGAAAATCCTCCCAAGTAGCTGTTCTTCAGTGAGGGTGGCTTGTTGCTATTACTTGCTTAGACTGAAAATTCATATTTTCTGTGGTGGTAGCTGAGCAACCGTTACGTCTTTGCTCTTGCAGGTCTCTCTGACAAGCTGGATTTTCTAGATGAAGAGCAGACGTCGTCTCAGGGGAACAAAAAAGGCAGTGCAAATCAACGGATAAAGAAGGGGTGAGACCAGAAAAGAAAGATATTTAAATGCAGAATGTCTGATTTTTTCAGTCTTTTAGGGGATCATTTTGTGGAACAAGAAAGCTGTTCTGGTTAATGTTTGTTAAAATAAGTCTGAGGTGGCTTTCTGTCCCTAGAGAGGAGGAAAACTGTGGCCAGAATGGAACGGAGACTGAAATGTGCTCATTTCTGCCTCTTCAATAAGAGGGGAAAGGTTTACTATGGCTGATAGGAGTCCATCAGCAGATACATGTGCCTTCTTCAGAGCTTCTTGAAGAAAGGAATATAGGCGATATTCGGTTGTTTTTCAGACCAAATGCCAAAAGACGATACAAGAACCAGAAATTTGGTTTTGGTGGGAAGAAGAAGGGCTCAAAGTGGAACACAAAGGAGAGTTTTAATGATGTATCCAGCTTCCGGTCAAAAGTGGCCCACAACAAAGGCCCAGGAAAAGGAGGAAAAAAAGCCCTCAATGTAAGTAAAATGTTGCATGCAAATGATCCTGGTTGGCTAGGAAGCCAGCTGTGGTCTGGGAGGGAGAGCTGAGTACATGATGGGTCCCTCCAGTATCTGGAAGTGAAAATGTCTGTCTTTGGGAGCTGAGCATAATTCAGTTGCAGACAGAGTTGAGGATGGTGGTTTGGTGTCTGAGCAGGGAAATGAGTGGGGGAGTTAGCAAGTACTGTTTGTTGCTACCTGTGTCCCAAAACCTCCTTCTCCAGAGGTACTGACAAATATCCTCTCCTTGGTATTTTCCCCAAGCTATGGAGCTAGAAGAAAGATGGAGGACGTGAAAATAAAGATCTGAATCTCTCCTTTTTTTGCAGAAGAGACCTGGAAAGAGAGCAAGGCAGAAAATGAAGAGCCGAGCACGCTAAGAGGACTGTGCTCCCCAGTGGGGTTCCTGTGTTTGTGTGTTGCAAGATATGTTTCTGCTGTCATCAAGCAGCTAACTGTGGAGCAAGCTGGATGCTTCCAAGTGGCAAGAAAAGAAGTCGGTGGAAACTAGTGCCTTATCACTAATTTCTTCTTATTGTCTGTTTTATTGAAGGATTGTTTTCTACTTAAACTTTTGGTGTGTGAACACATTAAATAGTTTGCACAGAACGGTATCTAACTCACGTTTAATTGTGTTATGAATGGTGGCTGAAACCTGCCCTTTGTTGCCTTCATTCTCACAGCTTTTTCCACAGCTACTGTTGACATGTACTTGGTAAACTTGAGTTCTGGGTCATGTTGTTGATGTCAGAATAAGAAGTCTGAAGCCTGTCAAGATGTTAAAGTGTTCTTTAGACTACTCGTGTAGACAGGTGGTTTGGAAACAGCAGAGACAAATGCAGCAATCTTATAAATAGGTTTATTTCTGTAACTATTGTCAGGCTGCAAATCTGGACAGACTGAGGTTCTCTCTTCCCTTTTCTCACTATCTTCTCTTGCCAGAAATCTACCAGACTCGCCTAATAACAAGCAGAGCCTAACATACTAGATGTCATTAACTGCTTCTATCTAAGTTGTGTGGCTTTACCACTCTACTACTGTAGGTTCTCAGACTGCTCCTCCCCGTGCCCCATGGCAGCCATTTATTTAGTGATCTCGGTTCTCCGGCGTGGGAAGTAGAGTCTGCAATCAGTACGGTCCACGGGAATCTGGGAAAGAAAAATGATTAATAGTCATGTGCTTTTGCTAGAATTAGTAGTAGTCGTCCCCCCTGAGAAGAGTGATGCACAGCGTTCTTGCTGCTGAGAAATGTCCAAATGACAAACGAGTAGGGTATCACTTATTTGAGAATATACTGTTCACCGTTTCATTACGGTAGAACCTGGTGAAAAAAGCAAACTTAATGTATGAAACAGCATCATGAGTCCTGACTCTATAAATTTAACTCACTTCCCTGCATGCAAATTTAGTCGCCTCTTTCCTGCCACCTAATCCTACCACCAGTATCTAACAGCGTAAAGCCCTGCTGGGATGTCTGTTGCTAGCCTTGTTATGAGTAACCAGATCACCTGAAGTGTAATATGAAAAGTTGCAGAAGACTATCTTATTTTCTTATTTATCTTAGTTTTCTTTGTAACAGGTCAAAATTAGTCAGGCCCTCATTTGCCTTTCTCGAAACACGAATCTACAAAGTCAGTCATCGTCACAGCTATTTGTTTGTCAGATATGATTGATGTCTCAGCTTGTTAATAAGATTTCTTTTCCTCCTGTTTATTCACACTTCCCCATATGAATCCTCACTGATGTATTCTGCCTCGGGTATACTTAGCTGATTATTAATTTTATGCTTCTGCTTGCAATTTGTTTGAAAGATACTATACAGCAGCACATTTCACAGTACTTATGTATGTCACTTCACATTGCTCACTATGCTGTTTCTCATGGCTGAATGCTTTAATAAACAGCCGTGACTACATATGTGGCATTTGGCAATATGCTTGGGGTCGACTGTCATTGTAGATATTTTGCATGCAAGTTTCTCAGGGGAAGTCTACTGTTTCTGTGTTCACAAGCCTATGCCAGCGTGAAGAGTCCTCTTAGGTGTAAATTTTAAAAACTTGTTGTCCATGAACAGCTCTGCTCATTCCTAGTCATTCCTGTTTTCCATGTTTGTCACAAACTATTTTCTTGCGTGAATATCTTCAAGTGTAATGGGCTGAACCTCTCTGAATCCTGCAAAGAGCTGAGTCCTTAAGCACCCTACTCACCAAAGGTGTTGTGTTCCAGCCAATTTCCTGGCTTTCAGTTTGTGGCTCTGAATATTTCTTTGTTGGCTCCAGTGCTGCATGGTGAATAAGATTCAGAAACTTGGCTGTTGGTTTAAGAGACACAAATACAAATGAAAGGAAGTATGTTTAAAAACCAGTCATCCGTGGATGTGTGTTAGAATGGGACATCCTAACGCTGTCCAAGCAATAGCAAGAAAGCAAAGGTTGGAGGCAACCTCTGTGCTTCTGTGAATGATCTTGCAAGAGAAGGCAGGGTGACATTTCTACTCAAACTTACCCCGATGAGGTTTCAAGATTTGCCTGCCTATACTGTCCTGTTAATTCTGTCATCCCTGTTTACTGTATTGCAGCATCTTACTTTTCTTGTATCGCATCTAGTATCAACCAGCGCTCCACGTTAGCGGTCGTCATTCTCAGTTGCCTGAGACCTGCTGCCTTTCCCTGTTTTGGTTTTATTTTCCCCCCCAATCCTGGACTAGAGTAGGCCAACTTTAAGTGAACATTAAGGTTTTTAGACAAAATTGGCGTGTTTGAAATAAGGGAGCAGTTGCTATAAGGGTTCCTGTTATTAGTGCTCTAAAGCCAGACTCGGCAGCCATTTCAGCAGTTTACCATATGTGGTGGTTAGGTAGAATCTGCATGTATATATAAAACATATTTCTAGATTTTTTTTGTTTTCCCCTGAAAGAGGTTTAGATTCTCAAGCAGAATTTTATAGTAGGATAACTAAAAACAAAATTTTGCATGAATGTAAGCTTGTATTGATAATGAAAAGTAACAGGAAAGGGCCTTAAAGTGGAAAAAAATCTGCCTTACGTTTAACAAAAATCATGAATGAGTTTAACTTTCTTCTATTGTCACAGGGGTGTTTCTGCGTATGTCATCTTTTAGACTAATTGGAATTTTTAAATCTTATTTATTAGTCATTTTCTTATGTAATTATCACAAGCTGTTCAGAGATTTCTTACCATCTGCCGGCTCTTCTATATTATCATGCCAAGACATAGGCTTCTTGGTGATCGTGTGAACTGGAAAGAAATGATGCAGATGAATTACTTTAATGTGAATTTAGCATCGCAGCCAGGTATAGGATATCTATCATTGCAAATGTTCTTTTTGATTATTCCCCAGTCTGGGTCCAGCTACTTCACTGAAGCCTTAAAGGAAGAACAGCATGTGAACAGAACAAAACGAGTTCTAATAGCAATTTCCTAGAAAGGGAAGGGGGTTAAGCATGCTAAAGGCCGTTTACTGGATGCTGCCTGCATTCACCACAGCAAAGGTCCACCCCACCCAAGTGGTGGCCTGCAGAGTGCCAAATTTCAGGAAATTATTTTCCTTTGTTTTGTTTTTTTTTATTATTGTAAAAGCTAGACCTGAGTGAATCTGTTCACATCACCCGTCTGTGCCAGCAGAGATTACGATATTCTATGACTCCGAATTGGCAGGTAGAAATCAACGCAGAGGCTGAAGAAACACGGTGTAGCGTTGAGGCTCTCTACGCCATCTTGGCTCTGCGTTGTTCCCTCAGGATCCGTGGGTTCCAGATCCCAACTAGTTGCCTCACTTCTACATGTTTATACTAAGGCACCGCCTAATCTGGGCAAATTGGTCATGTCTCTGTTCTGTCTTGGAGTGTGCAGGCTGGTTCCTTAGGCAGAAGAACAGCCCATCAGTTGTTCCCCCCAGATCTACCCCTCTCACTGGCCACTGCTGGCATTCTTGGGTGCAGCTGCTTGTCTCCGACATGCAGCTGAGCGCTCCGGGGCCTGCTCCTGCCCCTGCCCCTGCCTCATGCAGGCAGGCCCCACCAGCCTTCCCTCCGCCCTCCGGCTCGGTGCAACGCTTGTCTTGCCCTCGGGGGTTCACGCCAGTTCTCTGTGACCGTGGGGCCGCCCGCGCGCCGCCTCACCGCGGTGGCGCGGGGTCAGGCCGTCCTGCGTGTGCA